GACACTCGGCTGATTCCTACGTGCTCTTCTCGCTCTGTCAGGCTGCCACTGGCCTGCCAAAACTATAGCACGCCAACGGTAGAGATGCCAACATCCTGGACGATTCTTCACCACCCGAGGGACTTCGCTGGTGAGCAAAATCGACCACGTGGAGGCAGACGCGGCTCTGCAAACCGTTTCAACGGCTACCATACGCGCTACTAACACTTCTAGTCCCTTCCCATGCCACGGACATGGCTTGAACGGTACGCATATCTCCGCATACAGCCACATGTACACGTATACATAACCCTGCACCGCCATTAGAAGCCCTCTTTGGCGAGCCATGCCGCACACGCCTGTGCCCAAGTGGCAACATGCGGCAGTCGCTTCTCGCCTAACATGGCCAATCCCAGGCCATGTGGTCCCTCGGGGTACACATGCACTTCGTGGGGAATGCCGTATTTCTGTAACGCCATTGCGTACAGGTACGTGTTCTGCACCGGCACGGTCTGGTCCTCGGCTGTGTGCCATAGGAACGTCTTGGGAGTGTCCTTGTGGATTTGGAGCTCCATTGAGAACTGTCTTCTCCTGTTGGTTTGATGGAAGGGGGTCACGACGATTGTATGTGAGAAAAGGTGTCTTCTAGATTATGGCACAACCTGCAAAGCACCTACAGCTTTCCCAAATAAAGTATATATACTTGCAAGTGGTACCGAATTGAACACAAGGTGAATATGCCCCAACTATTCCGGTTGACATATCAGCGGCAGGCGTGCAGTGAGCTATCAACATACATCCAACATCACGCCCTGTGAACACCCAACCCCAATGGCTGCCCAGGTAAATGCTCAAGCACCACGTGGGCGGTTGGTATGCGCAAATTGTGTCTCAAACACTTGGTTGTACACGTTGTACACACGGATGGGATATCCTGATCATTGTACACAGCTATGTCAGTATCTACAAATCTGTTGAGAAACCCCATGTCATACGTGCGAGAGCAAACTCGAAATAGTTACCATATGGTGTAACATTCAAGACAAGCAACCTATCACGACCACCACCTGTGTACGTAGGCTGTGTACGTAGGCGGCGCCTTTCACTGCCACTAGATATTTAACATCAATTCACTCGTGTATACATGTGTTTTTATGTTCGATAAACACGACCATAGAACACTATAGGCGTCAGCCGTGCCTGCAACCGATTGTCACCGCCCCAGCATAGAACAACATACTTGTCCTCAGTCATGGGCTCGCCCATTTGGAGGTGCAGCGATTGTTGATGCGTAAACTCTCCGCCACTGATCACCGGATAGGCGAGTATGCTCAGATCAGGACGCGCGGACATCTGAGATGGAGAGATATGTGATAGTATTACAAGCAGCAGGTAAACGGGATCAACTATTTAGTTATAGTGAGTGTCGATATTTTCTTCACTGTAGACAAAATACAAACCAAAGATCTCACTACAGCATAACTGTCACCGCTGTCAGTATGACAAGGCTTTGTAGTTGTCGTCCAACTGCCGCCAACTGATACCATGCGATTGTGCTCTCTAAGTCTGTGGGAGCACCAGACTAGACACAGCGAGCAACACGATAAGGTTTGTTTGAGGTTAGAACTCTCGATCTGTACTACGGAGCTCTTTCCAATACTGTATGAATGAAACACGTATCGTGTAAATTTGGATACCCTTCGTTGTCATCCTTTAAAAATACGTTCGTTTCATTTGCACAGATCATTCTATCGCGTTTTTCGGTGTATACACACGTCACATACGTATGCACACTTCCTCAATGACAAACCTCATCAGCGCTTGTCATATCACAGTCACACATAGTTGCGTACATACAAACTACTCAAATATGCACACGTCCACACTATACAAAACACGCAATATGTTTCGTCGCCATACCCCGTCTCCGATTTCGCCGTGGCATGCAGGCGACTCAGAGATGCACACATACGCACATACATACCATTCACGCACGCACACCTTTTCGATGTCATCGCCTGCTTCAGTGCTTGTCATGGTATACAGATTACTCAATGTAGCAGCCAGATGACCTCCAGCGGAAAACCCTAGCACGCCCACTCGGGAGGGGTCGATATTAAACTCCTTTGCGTGGTACCGTATGTACTGTATCGCTCTTCTGGCATCGTTGTAAGCAGATGGCCATTGTGCTGGAGCAACTCTGCGGTCGGCCGGATGAGTGAGTTAATATTCACACATGCTGAGGTGGGTGTTATATAGAGATACATGCACGGTGTGGTATTGTTATACGCAAATGGCCACTGCGTCTCGGTTTCATATGCTAGAATAGGTTATAGCATGAGATATGCTAAAATAGGTCATAGCAGGAGATATGCTAGAATAGGTCATAGCGTAAGATATGCTAAAATAGGTCATAGCATGAGATATGCTAAAATAGATCATAGCATGTAATTTCAGCTGTCTTGAGCATCGTCCTTTGCACAATGCCCCTTGGCAAGACCATATAGTTTGCCCTGAGCGAGTGAATGTGTAAACATGCAACATACCAGGGGATTCTTCTGTTTGATATCAAGTGTACCAAGTATCGTAATATGCAGGTGGCCAATCTGCTATGCCTCAACGTGAAAGCATAGTTTATTGATATTGCAATATGCTCAAGTAGTAAGGCGAGCCAACAGGTCCATCATGCATGTTAATACAAAAATGAATACTTGCTAGTGTATGTGTTGATGTATGTGCATACACGATAGGTCTAACTCGCATGTGCATCGAAAGTCGACCTCGAAAGCGCACACATTTTATATTGAACTCAATAATCACTTTAACACTACAATTTGTGTGTGTATAAATAACCGACCATGTATCTAATGTATCTCCATAGTATGAAATTTTTATTTGCAAGTCCGGGCATCAGAGCGCGCTAACTACCAACTGCTGCGCACTTTAATCAAAAAACCATGCCGCATCCTATGCAGTATCATATACCCCACCGTATACACATACATCTATATATATATATATATATATATATATAAATATATATATATATAT